AGTTTTGTTTTCTAAAAGTCCAAGCCTAACAATAGGCCTTCAATTTTGTTTTCTAAAAATCCAAACCTAACAATAGGCCTTCAGTTTTGTTTTCTAAAAATCCAAGTCTAACAATAGGCCTTCAAGTTTTTTTTTTCTTCAAAAAATCCAAACCTAACAATAGGCCTTTAGTTTTGTTTTCTAAAAATCCAAGCCTAACAATAGGCCTTCAATTTTGTTTTCTAAGAATCCAAGCCTGGGATATAGGCCTTCAATTTTGTTTTCTAAGAATCCAAGCCTAGGATATAGGCCTCCAATTTTTTCTAAAAGATCCACGCCTAATAATGGGCTTTGAAAAAAATATTTTGTAACTATCCACGCCTTCTAATATACCTTGAAAGAATATTTTTAAAACTCCACGCCTAATAATAGTCCTAGAAAAATATATATATTTTTTATGTGCTCGCCCCACGATTTGTGATAAACCCTGAAAAATAGTTTTTAAAAATTCACACCAGTAGCCCTTTAATGTTTTCGTTTAAAAATGTACGTCTTGAAAATATTTCTTTTGAAATCTACGAGAATATATAGTTTATAGAATACTGACTTCAATAAAAATCTGCAAAATTTTTTGCAAAATTTTTTTACAAAACAACATATGCACACATACACACACATAGAAAGAAAACGAACACTTAGACATATAATAAAATTAAAGACAGTACAATAGATGCAACAATATCTACCAATCAAAAGAAAAATACCACACAGAAAAACTTAAGATATTTTAAAATCACACACACACCCATATGGACCCAAATAAAAAGGGAAATATGTTAAAAATTTAGCAGAAAAAAATATAATTTAAATTATAAATATTTGTTAAAAGATGTTAATAATTTTGTTGGTTTCACTTAAAAATTTGCTTGCATTTACAATTTTCTAAACATCACTGCCATTAATCCAAAGTTTAACGCCTCCATTGCCCGTTCGCACGGGCAAATATCGTTTCGACCAAGCAGCAGCATTTAAAGCATTCGGCGTTGTTGCATTACCCGGCAATGTTATTTTCTGGCAATTCATGCTGGTAGTGGTGGCACTGGCCGTACCAGTCGTTGCATTGGGATAAGGATACAAAGCATACCAATTAGCCGATGAAGAAGAATTGTGGCAATCGAGCAAGGGCAACAATACATCGCCTAGTTGAGGGAGCGGGGGGAAGGAAATGTTTTAAAAATAAATTTTTAAATTTTCATCAGAAGAAAATATGCTAAAGTTTTTTGTTTTTGTTTTGTAGTTTAAGTTAATTTAATTTTGATTTGATTTATATCAATAAAACATTAGGGTGAAGTAAAGAATTTGTCAGATAGTTACAGATAGTGAGAGGTGTAGAGAGAAATTAGTTTGTTAGCCATGTTAAGAGAAGGATGTTTTAATTTATTACTGCTACACAAAATGTTTATTAGATCGGGGTTTAGTCGAGAAGTCATGGCATTTGAAGTGAAGAGACTACGTTCTACAGATTTCTATATCTAGTTAGTATTTGTTTTTCATATTGTGAATTGGTTAATGCAAAGGGGGGGAGAGATAGTAGCTACTTTTTTTATTTATATTTTTTTTTGAGTTAATGGTTAGAATGTTTAGTTGATTGTACAAAGGGGTTAATGAATGTTTTTTAAGGGGTTAAGAGAATTATCGGAAGGAAGTCAACTATATGCAATAGGGATATTTTAATTTTGTCTGCTTCAGAAAATTTCACACAAAGTTCATGAAAACACAAAACATTCTAAACTGATCCTTAAAAACATTTTTATACCCTACACAACTATGTTTGTCAGGGTATTATAGCTTTTGCAGCCCCAAGAGTTTGTAACTCAGACCCACCTTTAAGTATACCGATCGTCATATCTCGACTAGCTGAGTCGATCTAGACATGTGTGTCCGTCTGTCTGTCCGTCTGTCCATTATAATTTGTAAACACGATACGGGCCACAGTTATGGACCAATCTTCATGAAATTTTGCATGTAAGATGGGTTCTGCCCTATGAAGACCCCTATTGTTTTTGATAAAGATCGGTTAATATTTAGGGGATGAAATGGACCAAATATTAAATTTTTGTCGGTTTTTCTGGCCGCTCCAGAGGCCGTAATTATAGCCCGAACATCGCGAAATTTTGCATGGAGAAGGAGGTCGGGCCAAAGAATAGGCATGGCTGTTTTGATAAAGATCGGTCAATATTTAGCGGGTCAAATGGACCCTGACTTTTGTGTGAAAAATTACAAAATTTGTATTCTGGGGCATATATATTTACTCCCGAATGATATAGACCCGAGGTGTTGATAGCATATCCAAGAGGAGTGGTTGGCCTTTAAATTGATACCAATTACAGTTATGTATCTACTCGGATCTGGGAGTTACACTCAAATATTTATAGGTGCTTACGTATTCAAATATTATTTAGTATTCCATTACCACATTAGAGGGCAGAAATATCGCGCTGATCGCTTTGACATTTTCCATGAAGTTCCAATTATGACCAAGGATAACGCCTACAATTTTCGGTGATTATCACATAATAGTATTGGGATGAAATGACGGAAAACTTAATTTTGTGTGTGTTTTCGAGTCGAATATAATTCGAACATCACAACACAACCCACCGTGAAGGGAATCTGGATAAGTAATTAGAGTAAGTGAGTATTCGAAAATGTAAGGAAGAGGAGCTGTTGACCTCTAATCGGGCAAATATAATATTACCCTGACTCGGAATAAACATTCGCCGGGAGTTAGAGTTCTGTGGTAGTTGGGTAGGGTATCGTATGGTCGGCCCCGTCCGACTATACTGCTCCGCTCACTGGTTTTATTTGTCCTCGAAAAAATATAGTTTAAATCAGTAAGGAAAGTAGTAAAGTCGGACTGGGCCGACTATATGATACCCTTCACCACATTGGTATATATATATATACTATCAATCCATACATATATTCTGAAACCTATGCTAAGTTTCATTTCATTTGGGCAGATTTATAGTCGTATAATAGGACAAATTTATGTAAATCGATTTATAGCACACTTGATACACGCTATTCGGTATGCCGCACTGTTTCAAATTTAATCTCAATCAGGCACCCGTTCGAAATATTTAAAAACGTAATATATAAAAAAACGTAATTCTAGTCTCAATTTGATATGTTGTGCAAATTTTCGTGTCAATCGGACAAACATTAGTAGTTTAGTGCACCATTTATCTAAAATTGGACGAAATCATGTATAGCTATATCTAAATCTGAACTGATTTTCACGAAGCTTAGCACAGATCAGTCTAGGCCGAATTTAGTACGCTGTGCCAAATTTTACAAATTTATAGGAACTTTGGTGCACCATTTACCTTAAATCGGACGAAAATATATATGGGAGATATATGTAAATCTGAACCGGTTTTCACGAAACTTGGCACACATCTTTCTACGCTTAATTCACTACGCTGTGCCAAATTTTGTGCAAATCGAATAATGTGTAGCGACTTTGGAGCACCATTTACCTTAAATCGGACGAAAAATATATGTGGGAGCTATATCTAAATCTGAATCGATTTTTCCCAATTTCAATAGGATTCGTCCTTGGGCCAACTAAGTGACCTATGCCACTTTTTATCCAATTCGGATCATAAATGCGACTTGTACTTTGTTTACAATTTAACATGGACAGACAGATGGACGGACATGCATAAATCGACTTAGAAAGTGATTCTATGCATATTCTCAAAAGGAACCATGTATCTATCTCGATTCCTTTTGCCTGCCAAAAACATATGCACAAAGACATAATACCCTGTACCACAGTGTGGTGAAGGGTATAAAAATCCACGTCTGGTGTTAGTTTATAAAAAATAATATGTTAAAAATCCACGCCTTGTGTTGGTCCTTAAAAAATATTATGTTAAAAATCCACGCCTTGTGTTGGTCCTTAAAAAATATTATGTTAAAAATCCACGTCTGGTGTTGGTTCTTAAAAACTATTATGTTAAAAATCCACGTCTTGTGTTAGTCCTTAAAAAAGATTATGTTAAAAATCCACGCCTTGTGTTGGTCCTTAAAAAAATATTTTTTTAAAAATCCACGCCTTTTGTTGGTCTTTATTTTTTAAATCTACGCATTTTTTTGGTCCTTGAAAAATATATATTTTTAAATCCACACCTTAAATCATCGTTTAAAATTGTCCTCAAAAGCTATTGTTTAAAGTCCGCAGAGAACCTTTCAACAATTAATTTGGTCCCAAAATGACAACTAATTTAAAATGTTTCAAATTTAAAGTTAATTTAAGATATTTTATGGAGCAGGAGCGTCGCTATAAATTATTTCCATGGGGCGTTAATATTGCTATGGGGGATTCTTGAGCATTCAAACCCCAAAAGTAATTTTTGTGGGTTACAAAAAACAGTTCGGTAATGACTGTCTCTTCCCCTGTTTTTCAGTCCCTTGTTACGCCCCTGTTTGAGGATATCAATTTAAATAAAATGATGTTTAAAATTAATTGTATTATTGTAAACATGAAATTTATATATTTTCTAAGAATAACAAAGTCGCGTACATACACACACACATACAATGGATAATTTAAACAACAGGAGCAGTAACACAAACACACACATACACATTTGTACACTTTGATATTGGAGATATAGAAAAATCCAATCACACGCTTATGAATGACGAAAATACAAATGAAATTAAATTTACAAATAAAAATGGATTATAAAATGAAATGATTTAAGTGCGGGAAGCTTAAAAAAATTGTTTTGAAATTTTATACAAAAGCATTTGGCATAAACAAATTAATTTTTAATTGTTAAATATTTTTTGTTTATTTATATTAAATTCTACTAACTAATACTACATTAACTACTATAGGTATTTTTTTAATTTTTTCTACAACAAAATTTTGTGCTTGCAAAAATTTAAACCAACAACAATTGAAAGCTATGGCTACAATTTTTTCAATATAGATTGTGGTATCCTACCGTTTAGACTGGGCTGGGCATATTGTATGAAACCTTCGGAGATATAATGATGCTGACTGCTCGCTGTACTTGTACTGCAGCGTGGCATCATATTAATTGGTGCTATGCGGGCTCGTATTTCAGCAGCCCGGGATGTGCCCATGGCAGCCTCTTCGTCATTCAGTTCTTCTTCCTCGATGTACATGGATGGGACATCGCTGCGGGCGGGTCTGAAATATGAGAAACAAGAACATATTAAATAAGAATTTAAATTTAATGTTTAGAATTAAATATTGTGGAATTTAAAATTTATGTCAACAACCTGGTTTACACCATACCAACAATCACTGCAAATTGCCATTCCGAAAAATAAAAGTTAAACTGTCACTTCCACTTAAAGCACCCCCATCCATCAGCCAACCACCACAGTCATTTCAATTTCCATACATACAAATACATAAGTATGTGTGTGGCGATGTTGACAAAACAAATCATTAAAATTAATGCATACTTCACGGCGGTTTCTTTTTTCTTTGAAAAAATCTACTACTATTAACATTTCTTTTTTTTCTACGGAAATGAGTCACAAAAGTACAATAAACATAATCTGTTTTGAGGTTACACACACATACACTCATATCTATTGTATACATACGTATACAACACATGTCTCCCACATAATTTTCGTTCGCGCGTTCATTCCTCGTTCCGATTTTCTTTACCACAAATAAACCAGGGCAGACAGTGCTGTTGTTGTTGTTTGGAATCATTTTTATTTTGGGGAACAAAATGCGGGCACCACAATAATGGGCGGCCGCCTTTGTGGTTATATTTATATCAAGGAGTGTATCTGAACGTGGTTTTAACAAAAATAGGCATTAGACAAATAAACACTGGGAGAGATATTAGGGTGGATTTATAATAAATATTAGGATGGATTTTCAAAAGATGATTTTTCAGGCTCCATTAGAAGGCGTGGATTTTTCAGGCTCCATTAGAAGGTGTATGTTTTCAAAAGAAGGATTTTTCAGACTCCATTAGAAGGTGTGGATTGTTCAGGATACATTAGAAGGTGTGTGTTTTCAAAAGAAGGCGTGGATTTTTCAGGCTCCATTAAAAGGCGTGTATTTTCAGGCTTCATTAAAAGGCGTGGATTTTCAGGCTCCATTAGAAGGCGTGTATTTTCAGGCTTCATTAAAAGGCGTGGATTTTCAGGCTCCATTAGAAGGCGTGAATTTTTCAGGCTCCATTAGAAGGTGTATGTTTTCAAAAGAAGGCGTTAATTTTTTCAGGCTCCATTAAAAGGCGTGGATTTTTCAGGCTCCATTAGTAGGTGTATGTTTTCAAAAGAAGGAGTGGATTTTTTCAGGCTCCATTAAAAGGCGCGGATTTTTCAGGCTCCATTAAAAGGCGTGGATTTTCAGGCTCCATTAGAAGGCGTGGATTTCTTCAGGCTCCATTAAAAGGCGTGGATTTTTAGGTTCCATTAGAAGGCGTGGATTTTCAAGCTCCATTAAAAGGCGTGGACTTTCAGGCTCCATTAAAAGGCGTGGATTTTCAGGCTCCATTAAAAGGCGTGGACTTTCAGGCTCCATTAAAAGGCGTGGATTTTCAGGCTCCATTAAAAGGCGTGGATTTTCAGGCTCCATTAGAAGGTGTGGATTTTTCAGGCTCCATTAGAAGGCGTGGATTTTCAGGCTCCACTAGAAGGCGTGGATTTTTCAGGCTCCATTAGAAAGTGTATGTTTTCAAAAGAAGGCGTGGATTTTTTCAGGCTCCATTAAAAAGCGTGGAGTTTTTCAGGCTCCATTAAAAGGCGTGGATTTTCAAAAGAATGGCAGGCCCTAAAGTATGGTGGCTCCATGGCCCCATGTTCTTTGTGACGTCTTGGTTTTCAGCTCGCTTCTTAAGGTTTACTGGCCTGTCGGGCCATATAGGCTAATTTCAGCTAATCTAAATTGGTTATCTTCTGGTCGTCTATAGGGGTTCCTCTCCCTTAAGATCGTTTATAGATGCTGTCTCTGCCAGCCGAGGGTCAGTAGCCTTATAATAGTTATTTTTAGTCGCTCTATAGAGGCTATCTTTAGCGAGCCAAGAGGCCTTAATTAGTATTTATAGTAGTTTTTAATAGGGGCTATCCTCCATAAGGACAAAAGTAGGTCTTGTAGGTTAAATGTTTAAATCTCCACCCTAATATATTTGTTTTGATCATTTCGAAACAGTTCACATATCTCTCTTTGTGGTTCTTGCTTGGTTTATTATCTAAACGATTTTAGCGTCTGGCTTCGTGGGTGTCTATGTATTGTTAAATACGTCAAGTACATGACAGACAATTAGTAATGTCAGTGTAAATTAGATATTCTGATTCAAACGTACACATACATATCTAAATATATTTTTGCATGTTAGACATAATGATATCACTGTTGTGATGGCTTTCACATCGATGTGGTTTATTTTTTGTTTTTGGAATTTTCGAAGGTTTATTAAATTTTTTTGGCAAGAGAAAGTGGATTTCTTTTTCAAATCGTTGAATATTTCTTTGGGTATTTCGAAGGATCTGCAGGGCATCTATTGTTGTCTTATAATGTGTCAGAGTTAAAGTCCCAAATCTGAATTTGTGTAATTAAATTCCTTAGCTTTACACTATTTCCTGAATTTTCAATTCCCAAGTCATTTGCCTGAGTAAGGAAGTGGTGTCCTTCCCTAATAAATTCGCCTAATACATTCATCCTACACCACAACAACACCAACAATATTGAGTTTGATTGCTAATTACCAATAAACAATTTCATGGCGATACAGTTATCATCAACAACAGCAGGACAACCGAACCTACTAATTAATAACTCAAGTTATAGGCCAGCCATGTTATTGGTTAGCAAAAGAGCCCAGAGAGAGAATATCAATTCCGAACTGTTTACAAATAATGATAGCCAATTAGGAAAGTAGTTGAACCATAAAGCGAAAGTCCATAAAATTGGTTACATTCCCCCAGATAATTCATTGAAATGTCTTTAAGAGTGTCCTCCAAAGGATAGGGCATAAATATTTCTACGAATTATTATCATGACAAAATTGCTGCTGCTATATAAGTATACTATACATATTTGTACTGACACATGTGTGGTGGTTATGATGTATATGCACACACATATGAACACAGATATATATATATGTGTGTTCTTAGAAATATGGCTATAACGGAACTTGTGTGTGTTTGCTTTACCGGAAGCAATATTCATTTCGAACACAGTTGACAAAACAAAATCTTATCTTGGTGATGGGATTTTACTCCAAACAGTGATAATTGCCAACAAAAATAACGTGGAAAATGGGAAAACAAACAAATGATGATGCGCCCACACACACACACACACAAGCAACGGGGCTTACATGTGTCTCCTTAGCACCCACACACACTTCATCCGGACTTTCTTACACTAACACATGTGAATTATACATCATCCTCCAATTTATCCACTTTATAACACAAAAACAATATCCCCTATTGCCATTGGTAACCCTAACCGGAAAATCCAACAGATTAAAGACAATAGCAACAAAAATAGATCACAGAATGTGTATTTTTATATTTTCACACTCCTTTCATTTTTCCAAGAACAACAACACATCGAGTGGAAAAAATAACAACAGAACTCACACAATTCATTTAATTTGAAATTTAGATTGTGCCCAGCCGATAAGTAAATCCAATTAGCGATGACACACAAGAATAACAACAATAGCAACAACGACAACAACAATGGTCACACTCTACACCTTGAAAGAAAGGAGGCAGGGAATGCGTTCAAAGATGAAACAAAGCCATAAACAATAGCCATTGGTAGCTGACTGGCTAGCTAACTAACTGGCCTTGATTTAGTGCCTCCGATAAATTGAAACATCCTGTTTTCTGCAGATTCTGCTGTAAGAAAAACAACAAAAGCCGCCAACGGTGGTAATGGAAGTCATCGTTATTTATGGGTCATGCTGTGAATAATGTCATGGTATGCCACGCCACCAAGGCGATAGTTAATCAAATAACTGAACAAGATACAATTATTAGGTATTGGGATAGGAAATTGTCTGTTTGATGCTTTAGATGTGGTTTCTTTATTGGTGGTCAACAAAGACCTCAGAAATTACCAAATTTGTTCTATAGGAAAAATGGTAGCATACAATTTTTAATAAAAAAAAATCTTTTAAAAAAATCGATCGGAAAATGTTTGCATTCACTTTCTTTGAGAATATTGGCATCTAATGCATTCGTTTCTACGTCTTTAAAGGGTTTACATTTATATACAGTAAATCCGAAGACTTCGCTCCAAAAAAAAAAAAAAAAAAAAAAAAACAGTAAGGAAAGTAGTAAAGTCGGGCGGGGCCGACTATATGATACCCTTCACCACTTTGGGTATATTCAACAGATGAATGCTAACAGACATCGAATTCTGCAACCTATACTAAATTTTTCATTTGTTCAGATATAGGGTTGCTTCTTAGAATGGGACAAAATTACCTAAAATCGGGCGAAAAAATATGGAAGCTCTATCCAAATCTCCACCGATTTCAAAACTTTTCACATTTAAAAACTTTAGTTTGTTGTGCAAAATTTGTGTCAATTTTTTGTAAAATCGGATGAAAATATATATGTAGAAGCTATATCAAAATCTGAACCGATTTCAATGAGAATGGCAGAGGTTAACTTATATTAACTACAGTTTATTGTACAACTTTGTGTGGCAATCGGACAAAGTTTGGGTCTTTAGTGCACAATTTACATAAAATCGGAAGAAAAAATATATAGGAGCTATATATAAATCTGAACCGATTTTCAGGAAACTTTACACACATCACTCCAAACTCATTTCACTACACTATGCCAAATTTCGTGAAAATCGAAAGATATTAAGGGACTTTGGTGCACCATTTACATTAATTCGGACAAAAATATATATGGGAGCTATATCTAAATCTAGGCTTAATTCAGAATGCTATGCCAAATTTCGTGCAAATCGAAAGATATTTAGGGACTTTGGTACACAATTTACCTTAAATCGGACGAAGATATATATGGGAGCTATATCTAAATCTGAACATATTTTCACGAAGTTTAACACACATCGTTCTAGACTTAATTCAGTACGCTGTGCCAAATTTCGTGCAAATCGAAGGTTATATAGGGGCTATGGTGCACTATTTACCTATAATCGGACAAAAATATATACGG